TTGTGTGGCATTTTTTCTGTCCCAGAATAGAGCAAGTTTTATTTGCATTGAAAATCTGTTCAGGCACATATCCTTTCTCCTCAATGGTTTTCTTGGTGGCATCTGGGAAATTGTTTGCTGCCTCTTGGTTAGCAGAAGCTGCTTCTCCTGTTAGCTAGACATTTTTTAAGTGTAACCTCTTTTTTGAAATTTTCAGAATATCCGTGAAGGCTTTCACGTCCGGGATCTAATGGTTGTTGTGTGTTTTTCGGGCTCTTTGGCCATGTTCTGAAGGTTGTTCTTCCTAACGTTTCACCAGTCTCTGTGGCCGGCATCTTCAGAGGACAGCACTCTGTGCTCTGGTGTAGTGCTGTCCTCTGAAGATGCCAGCCACAGACACTGGTGAAACGTTAGTAAGAACAACCTTCAGAACACAGCCAAAGAGCCCGAAAAATCCACAACAGCCATTTCAGAATATCCTTTGTTTGCATAAAATGTTCCATCTTTAGATCCTTTAGAGAGCATGAAAGGAAATTCTCGCTTGTGCTTTATAATATTTAATGTTTTACAACTGAATCCATTTAATTTTAAATTTTTTAAATCATTTTTGAAATTTTAAATATATTTTATTGAGTCAGTGACCGCAAAATAAATACTGCTGCTGCTGCTGCTGCTACTACTTTAGATCCTTCACCTTCCTTTTGTTTTAAGATGTCATATAAGGGCTTTGCTTTTTCTCATATCGAATTAGAGTCTATTGCTATGCCCAGGGCTTCAAAAATCCACTTGTCCCCTCATCTGTGACGAGTGCAAAAACACTGCTTGACGAGCCACAGCTCCTTCCATCCCTCCCTCCCTCCCTCCTTACCCTGAGACCCTCTCTCTCTTTCTCTCTCTCTCTTTCTCTGATCCTCTCTCTTGCAAGAAGAGAGTTCGAGTGGCACATAGATATATAGCTCTGCAGGAGAATGTAGAGTAGTCCCATGCTGGAGAGTATGGAGATTCCCTGCTCCCTATTTCATCCGAACGACCTGGCTCCTTAAGAGGCCAGGCACTTTTGCTTTCAGTTTTATTTTTTCCTGGAGACATTCAAAAGAAAGGCATTAGAAATACAGGCTTCATGACCCCACAGGCACGCAGGTAATAAAACAGCCTAAGTCTGAGTGTATATTTATTTTGGGTTTGTACACATTGTTATGTAGAAAGTGCCTAATTTAAATTTACATTTAAGTTTAAACATAAGTTGCAAGGCTATAGTTCGGTCATGCTGGCTTGTGAACTTTTTGGTTGACTGGTGAGACATTGTAAAAGTTTTCAAGCCCTGACTGTGCCTTTCTTATAACAATCCTGCATCCACAGAAAAACTTCACTTTCAGTACATCATAATATGCTGTCTTGCAAAAAGTGCAAGTTCTTCATGCCTGCTTGTGTTACTGCAGTGATGGCTTCACTAATTTCTTTTTTTTTAAGAGACCCTTATGCTGGATGCATTGATCTTGAAATGAGGGGTAGACATGGGCGGGGTAAAAATAAAATAAATAAATAAAATAAATAAATAAATCACAGCTGCAGACCTCAATCTGTGATACATACCAATCAATTCAAGCCTTACTTGCAGAGTCATGACTTTCCTCTGCTTCTTCAGAGTACTTCAGGTGTCACCAGTGACACTTCATTTGGGTCCCATGGTGTTTCCATGTTTTCAGCACTGAACTTCTTTAACAGCAGCCAAAGGACAAGAAAAGTCTCTATCAGAAGGGGGAAATGGAAAAACAATCTCTCCTCCCTCTATAGACCAGCATGCCTCTGTGACCTTCCCCAGCCCATGTCAGCCACCTGTAATGTCCCAACACCTTCCATGGCTACCACATGGAGCTGACATGTCAAGAGAGAAGGCCAGTCAGGCAACACCATCAGACCAGGGTGCTACACCAACAAGGGCCTCAGTAAGTCTAAAACTTTCCTTCCTCGGCCAATTCCTCGAAATGAATAGCAGCACAGTGTTTGTTTGTTTGGGGAAAAATCTGTATAACCAAAACTGTACTGCTCAGACCCATGCAATTCAAGGGAGAAGTGTAGTTGATGTCTACAGGGTTCTAGAAATTATTTATCAGAAACATTTTAAAAGAGTTGCAGTACATTGCCAAAGTAATCCTAACTATGAATTACCGACTTATGACCACTGGGAAAACTACTAAATTCACTGCATTTATAGCACGCAGTGCTACAGTAGTATGAAAAAGACAGATTTAGTAGAATTTGAACTGAGGATGGGCTATTTCAAAGTTGTCATCTCAAGAAGGAAAACTGAAGTGTGTTAGGAAAGAAACAGACGACACTGAGAAAGACTCATTCAGAATTTAATCTCTCTTTCAAGTAACAGAAATATTATACCTGCAGAAGGAGTGATGTAACATTGAAGGGGATACCCAATGTGGTGTAGTGGTAAAGTGATGTATTAGGACTCAGGAAGCCTTGGGTCAAATCCCAGCCCAGCCATGGAAACTCACTGGGATGTAGAACTGTTTAAACCACTCCTTAAACATCTCACTTACCTTGAAAGCCCTGTTATGATTGTTATAAGCTGGTTTGGACTTGATGGCACATAATAACAACTTTAAATATTTCCATATTGGAGCCAGTGGAGTGCTCCAAGTAACTGCCTCCATAATTCTCAGGCTATAAGGAAAGATAAAATGAAGACTCTAACTAGTAAATATGTAGCAACTTATACCTATAGCTTCTGGGTCATAAATTCCAACTAGAGAAAACAAATCTCTTCTATCAAAGTGGGGAGGGGGAGGTCTGTGAGGCTACATCACTCTCCCTACTCTATCTAGATTCTAGAGAACTGCAAGCACCCAACTGGAATTGCTAAGGGGAGTTTAGTGGGGAAACAACTCTTTGAATGGATGGTGAAGGTGGGGATCCTTTTCACCGTGTCTGTCATTTTTTTTTGGGGGGGGGAAGTAATATCCCCATTCATAACTCTCAAGTGATCTTTTGAGTTTTCACTATGAATATTCAAAAATCTCAGTTTACCAGGAATTCCTCTTCAGCTGAAAAGTAATCAAACACCCATCTACAGAAAAAGACAAAAGCCTATCTCACAGCCATAAATACTGCCCTCCAAAGCCAACTACACCAGAGCACAGAGTGCTGTCCTCTGAAGATGCCGGCCACAGAGACTGGCAGAATGTCAGGAAGAACAACCTTCAGAACACGGCCAAAGAGCCCGAAAAACCCACAACAACCAATCAATAATGGACTGTTCTCCTGCCTTTTGATGGATTATCATGGGTATACTGATGAAAACCCACAGTTGAGGATGCAGAAATTGGTAGATGAAGGCACAGATAAAGTAGAGTTCATGGACTGTAACATACATATCCAGGAACATGGGGTGGCACTGCTGTGTGACATTAAAGGGTCTGCACAAAATTAGCCTACAGTAATATTCCAAACATTCAATGTAAAAATCACAGTCAAGTTATAATACTTTTGTCTTTATCAGTCTGTTTCTCTGTGTCTAGTAGATCAAATGGCTGTCTCAATGGGAATGTTATGTACAGTGACATTGCCTGTGAGAGAGAGAGATAGCTAACTAAGCCTCACTAAACAGATATCCATAGTTATATGTGGCCATCAGGAAAGCTTTTTTCTTTCGTCCATCTAAATGGCTTGCGTCCAGGAACAGGTCATTAACTTGTGTACCTGTAATTTTGTGGTTCAGATAGTGTTTTCTGAACTAGAAATTCTTGTTCTGTTGCAGGTCCTTTCCAGCTGAAATAATTATTGCTATCCCTCTCAAAATGTGCCCTTTGTCTTTTCTTGGAGAAATCATTAAGATGGGGTTCAAATGCATGTTTCCTGTTGACTGTTATGTCGGCAGTGTCCTTTTGCACTATAGTACTGACAAAGAGACCTTTGGGTAGAGTGGGCGACATGGAAATAAATAAATAAATAAATAAATAAATAAATAAATAAATAAATAAATAAATAAATAAATAAATAAATAAATAAATAAATAAATAAATAAATAAATAAATAAATAAATAAATAAACGCATGCATGCATGCATGCATGCATGCATGCATACATACATACATACATACATACATACATAAAACCACAGTGCCCTCTATTGTACAAATGCTGGAGAACCTTGCATTCTTACTGCAAAAATTACCTACATGCCAGTGTATTCCCACAGAAGGAGTTAAGGTCTTCTCCTGTGGAAGCATCTGGTCTTTCATACAGGTCTTCTACCAGCAGTGGTATGTGGTCTTCTTCAATCTTTCTGCTAATTTTTAAAAAGTGCACACTTCCCAAATGCTATGAATTCATTTGACTATCACTATACATTAATTGATGTGTGAGTAACATGAGCTACTGTGCATGAGTAACATGGGGATATCATTCTGTAGAATAAGATTACAGGTGTTGTGGTGGTGTCTATGTAGTTCATTTGTTCAGTCTGCCGCTGCTGGCTGTGAAGCTGGATCTGTTACAGGAGGCACATTATAACTTTCTTATTTTGCTTTTATGCCTGGCATAGCAACTGCCCTTGTAGCAGGACTGCAGCAACAACCTGCTCATCTCAATTCTACATAACAGCACTTAGTGTGTAGAACAAACTTTTATTGTCTCTAGTCCACCCTCTGCCAGAATGACTTAAAAGCATCCTAAGCTCAATAAATTGAAGAGACAAGAAATTATTATGGAGGGCAGGGAGATTTCATGGCTGCACTCTCTACTCTTTATAGAACCTTTCCTCCTGAATGCTTATGTATCAGCGATGCATGACATTGAAATTAGCACCTTGTACCATACTGTTAGCAATGTTAACAGGCTCGAGTGACTACAATGTGACATTAACATATTATTTAAGGAACAGTTGTGTGTCCAGCACATTCACTGCACTACAGTCAATTGCTTCACTAACATTTTACAGCTTATTCTAGCTTGAAAAACAAGATTCTCTTTATTAAGGCTTTTCCCCCATTCATTTTCTTTTCAAGCAAAGCCTCACTGGGTTCAACTGATAAAAGATTTTGAAGCTGCAGTAGAGGACAACTTATACTGGGAATGCAGGGCAAGTGGCAAACCCAAGCCATCATATAGGTGGCTGAGAAACGGAGAGCCTTTAACACTGGAGGTAATTTCTTTTTGTTGTTGTTTTTGTTGTAGCAGTAGTTTGGGGAGGTTGTTTGCTTTTCATTGTAATCATACCCGTGCTTTTCTTCCCTTTGCTGCTCATGCAACAACATTTCAGCTTCCTCTATTCATTCTACCATATTGCCCCCCCCCCAATATCTTCTGGTGAGAGTTGCAGGGAGGAAGAGGAACTTATTTCACCAGCATTGCCCATTCTTCAGGCAATACAACCCAAAGACTAGAGGGCTCTGTGTGCTTGTACATATCACATGGATCCCAAGAGTTCCTAGGTTGCTGAAAGCATCTCATTTCCTCTGCAGGAGCTCTTTACAATTCTCACAGTTTTCAAATTATTAATTTGCTTTGTTATGCAAGTAATTATCTAGGTATAAACTTGGCTTTCATTTGCAAATCTGATTTATTATAGGACCTGCTGGAATTATGTTTTGAAACACTAACTAGAATCTCAGTTTACATGTAATTTATAATTTGGCCCTAAAGGCTCCAAAGATCTGATAGTAAACCACAAGCCTGCATGATGACACATGGCCTGGAAATGCTATCTGGACAGCTTTATAGTAGAAGCTAGAAGCATACATTTGTGAATGAGAGTCAAATCTTAGCCCATTGTCCCTTAATCTTACACAATGGCTGATATCCTGCTCGTAGCATAAACTGGATTGTAACTTTCTATCCATTCCTCCCTGATAAATAAAACACCCATGCCATAATTCTTGGGAATGTGCATATACCCCACCCCCCTAAATAAAACACCCATGCCATAATTCTTGGGAATGTGCATATACCCCACCCCCCAAGTCATAGCTGGGTGCTTTGTCTACCAGGGAGGAATGGATGGGAAGATACATTTTGGCTTAAGCTCTGAACAGGATTACAGCCCTTGTAAATTTATTCAGTGGGATGCCTTAATGTTTTTCTTACATTTATTGCAGCATACAGTAAGATACAATATGTTTCACGGTGCCTTTTTTGCAACAAGAAGACTGTAGCGTTTCTCGTAGTGTACAGATGAAATACTGTATCAGGGAAATGAGAGCTTGGAATGAAATTGAGGATTGTGGACAAAGAAGCAGGAATGCCTCTCTCCAAACCCAACTGGAGAGAGGCTGTTGCATAACGAACAAATCTAGTCAGAAAAGTCCTAGCCAACCAGATAATTTTCCCTCCCTTCCAATACTGTAAAAAAAGAGATGGAAGTCTGTCTCTCTGTCCTTTGAACAAAGGCAGATTTTGCCTAGGGATGAGAGAGAGAACCACAGCATATGCATGGAATGGGAGCCAGAGGCTATTACAGTAGGACTTGTGTTTTGGCTTAGCTCTAGTCCATATGGCAATCCAGGAAAAGTCATTTCTAGATCCCCAAAGAAGAAAAGGTGTCTACCACATAAGTAATTCCATCAGAAAAGACTAATGGGCCTTATAACTAAATGGTTGTTTGGGTTTTTTTGCAAAAATAAAGACGATAAATGACAGCTACCAAACACACAATGTGTTTTCTATTATTGGAAATGCTTCCGTAAGTTATGAATCATGGTGTTAATTGGTACTGACAAATTTAACACAACGCCATGTGTCTTCCTTGAGAGAGAAGGATAGACATTTGCACATCTATAAATAAATAAAAGGCTCATTTTTCAACTGCTACTCACTATGACCTAGGATAAATTCACAAGAAAAACATAAGGAAATCCATAAGGAATAACACAATTATTATTAACTGCAGTTTGTGTGCACTTTTAGAAAAATATATGCCAGTAACATTTTCACTAGCTGCCTTCCATGCTGAAAAAGTATTTATTACTACTTTTCTTTTCTGCTCTTTGTCTCTTCCCCATATTGACAGAAGGAATCCCACTATACTTCTGCAAAGATTTGTCAAGTTCCTTAGTGAAAATCATGAACTGAAGTATAACATTTATTTATCCATGCAAGGTAGAAACCGATTGATTATGATTAGCCAAAGACTTTAAGTCCCCTTCCACACTGGAAAATTACACCAAACAAAAAACACAAAATAAAACAAAACCCACCAAAGCCCTACTATTGTAGTCAAGGTTGATGAATGTTTGTTAAATCCCCACTGATTAGTGATTGCAGAGAATGTTCTCTAAGTATACAGGCCTTTAACACAATGGTCCTCTGAATATTAAGAACATTTACCTTGTTAATGGTAATGTGAATGGAACTGGGGTAGAAACTCCTCTGAGATTATAATTCTTGCAAATAGGATGGAAATATCAGTTAGTACTTGCCTTCCTGTCTTGTTTGTTCTGTGTCAGAAAAGGAAACCTCTCTTGCAAGCAGTCCTTTATTCTACCTGTGTCCCCAGGAGTGTGTGTTTGGGTTGTACTATTATTTCATACAACAGTTGGGATACCATGTGATTGAATGCTCTTTATAACAAAACAAACAAATAAAAAAAGTCTTACAAGGAACTGTACAGGGAGAAGGCTAGGAGGAGGTGCTGATAAATATTGAGCCTTTCCCAGAAAAAAAATATGAGCTAAGAAGCTGTAACTGCCACACTATTCTACATATTCCCCCAGGAAGTCAATGCACTTGCGACATCTGTCCTGCAGCTTCTTAAATTGTATTGTATTTTAATTGCTGTAAGCCGCCCAGAGACCTTTGGGTAGTGTGGGCGGCATATAAATTAAATAAATAAATAAATAAGTCCCTGCAAATAAAATTCTTCCAACTGCTGGTGTAACCACTCATTTGCAGCATTAGTTGCCTCCAGAACACTCTCAAATTGTTGTCCCTTTAGGTGTTTTTTGAGTTAGGGGAACAGATAATAGTCAGAAGGAGCCAGGCTGGGTGGGGATGGGGCATCACTTGAAAGCCTAAGCATGTCAATTTTGTCATTGTTTCACCTGTAGTATATGACGAGGCATAGTAATGCAACAGGATGACACCTTTGGAGAGCTTTCTTGATGTTTTTCCTTGATGTTTTGCTTCAACTTCATCAATAAAGCACAGTAATATTTTGCATTGATGGTTGAACCCTGTTGGAGGTAGTCCACCAGTAGAACTCCCTTCTTATCCCAAAAACTGTTGCCATTTGCTTCTGCACTGACCATTGCACTCAGAACTTCTTTGACCTGGGGGAACCACTGTGCCTCCATTCCTTAGACTGTTCCTTTGTCTCAGGATCATAACAGTAGATCCATGTCTCATCACCAGTTACCAGTTTGCCCAGGAAATCTGACTCATTTCTTGCAAAATGTTCCAAAACAGCCACCGATGACTCCACACGTTTCCTCTTTTGTTCGGTTGTCAAACGTTTGGGGATTCACTGTGCTTCCAGCTTTCTCATGTCCAAGTCATTATGGATAATGGCACCAACTCACGTGATATTCTCAGATATATAGCAATACTTTTGGCTGATATTCATGATCATGTCATGGATGGCTTTAAGATTTGCAGGCACAGAGACAGAAACAGGCATTCCACTGGGTTTCTCACTTTCCACACCAAAATGGGCAGTTTAAAAATTGACAATCCAACGTTTAACTGTTGCATATGAAGGCCCACTGTCACCCATAGTTTGTGACATTTCATCATGGATCTGCTTTGCATCTTTCCCTTGGAGAAACAGGAACTTGATTGTGGTCCTGTGCTCTTCCACATTGAACTTTGCTGGAGGTGCTGCCATGTTCACTTTGGACCGGAAAATGAAAGTTCAGTTAAAATCATAGGTAGTTGATTTTTGCACCATTGAATATAGATAAATTGGTCATTACACCCTGCAATTTATAGCTTCCTAGCTCAGTTATTTCTGGGTAAGGCTCAAAACTTATCAGCACCCCTGTGTATGCTGGAACTATTTCCGCTGCCTTCTAATTGTGTGAAGAGAATATGTTTCTAGGAATGAACATTAAATAATCTGAGGCATCACCTGTAGTCTATGCATCAAAACTGATCCCATGTCCGTGAAAAGAACTAGACCTTCTTCACCCACACATTATACCCAATCTCAATTGTTATGTTCTGAAATGTCATTTTGAAGGAATGGGTGGGATTTTTTATTACTCTGCACAAACAATGAGCAGAAATAGACATACTTGTAAGGACCAAAATTAAAATGAGCTAATCCCAGGATTGTCAGGAATAAATCATGCTGGCTGTCAAATCCAACTCAATTTTCTTAGAATTTGAAAGAGGATTTTCATAGCTGGTGTTATAGTTTTAGACTTATATCTACTGGATAGCACTATAGATCTTGGTCTCTCATAAATCCTTTATTATTATATTACACACTTTGGTCAGATCATACCGAAAACTCCACAGCTGATGTACACATCTGTTAAGTTGCATTTAAACTCTTCAAATGAAATTTGCTGAAAGCATGGGCTATAGCTGTATAGCCAGAATATCCTCCTGCGTTTATTTCATCAGTCAATGAAAGGGTATTTATTTTTATAACTTCTGTTTTTACTGCCCAGGGAAGAATACAAATTGAAAATGGAGCTTTGATCATAACAAACCTAAACTTGTCAGATTCTGGCATTTACCAGTGTATAGCAGAAAACAAACATGGCACAATATATTCCAGTGCTGATCTCAGAGTTGTAGGTAAGTCTAAACATTCCTGTCTGGTTTGTATTTATTGTCATTAAATTGTCTTTCTCCCCCTACTCCCATGCTGCCATGGTTGTCATACTAACAAGAACCTTGAAAAAGTGGGGAAAATAAAATATTATCACAGCAAGCAACTCCTTATCTGCATTGCTGTTTTGTTTTTTTTTAACTCACATGCATCTGGAAGAACTGCTGATGAGGGAAGCAACACCAGCCCAATGTGTTTTACAACCCAATCATTCACTGTTTTAAAACAAGGACACCAAGATAAATTATTAATTAGGGGGAGAGGAGAGACAAAGGCTTGGATGTCAGCCCAGAGATTAAAACTAATCACACGATCTGGAAGGAACGTCGCCTTGGCACATTACTCAGTAGCTCTGACCTTCTGCATCAAAGCCCTAGTATTCCTTGGAGAGCAATGTCGTTTAAAAGAAACAAGGTGGCTTCCTATGACCTCTTATTTGATTATGGACAGAAGGGGCAGTCTTTTAGTCATGGAGGTGATGCCAGCTTGTTTTTAAAAACAAACGGTTAATGCTGACCAGAAAGGAGTGCTGGAGTATGGCAGAGCTCCTGGTGGATTGAAATAGCAAGCACCTTTTTTATGATAAAGATAGTAGCGAGGGAAACCTGAAGATCAACTTGTATGGCTTTAAACAGCTTGATCACCCCCTCCCCACTCATTGTTAAGATCAACAGAAGTGGCAGCCACAATGAAACAACCACCTGCCCCAACAAGCTCTGGCTAATGGAGTCAACTATTTGAAGCCAATGCTGTCAACATCCAAGATTGCATTTAGCTCCTCACCAGTGACATGATCTGTACTGTACTGCTGAAAGTCCACTCATTGTCTGTTCTAAATAGAAAGTAAAGTTTTTCTGTGTTGTTGCCTATTGAAATAAGCCCTATACTGCCCTTACTTACTCTACTTGCCATTGACATGGTGAAAGGGGTGATTCGTTCTGCCGTCATCCTCATACAAACAGAAACAAGACTGTAGAAAATAGATTCTTGCTCATGTGTAGACTCTTATCTGTGAGCACGAATCCTGGAAAAATATGGGTGTTTGCTCACTTCAACAGTTAATACATCTTCAGGAACTTCTCCTCTTCAGAGGATGTGCAACTGAATGTGATAATAACCAAACAGAGCTATTTATTTCTGCATGAGAAGAAAACCTGTAGATGCAAATCTAAACAGAGTTGTTAATTAGAACATTGATTGCATGGTTATCAGTTTGAGAGCTTTCTGTGCAGAATTCAGCATCAGATATTTGAACACAATAAAATTGTGCAAGTCACTTAAATCTAGATTGAGCAGTGAATGTGAGTCCCAAATCAAATTAGCAATCTGTTTATATAATAACATTTTGGATGGCAGTATTTCTCTTGTCTTAAGCTACGTATTGCTAAAGAACATTATTCTCTCTCCACCCCATTCCTCTTGCAAACACTTACATTCAAAAGGTTCATTTTTATTCAGAATATTGGCTGGCAAGGATTAAGCAACATAAGGCATAATGTGATAGAGTGCTTCCCACTTAGTTGCTCACATGATTAAGATAATGTCTTCACCTTCTATTAAATGCTCAGTCTGCCTCCTTTTCAAAGCAACCAAAGCTTCCTAAACAAAACAATATTGCGCAATCTATTAATTCAGTACAGAGAGTCCTGAATTATAAGATTCTTTTGCAAAATGTATTATAAACATCACCTAAAATGGTTTGGGACAACATGAGGCTTGCTTACACCTGGTTGCCTCCTCATTTTTGTCCCTACCACTGCCACCTTTTGGTAGCACAGCACTGATAAAAAAAATGTCCACAGTTTTGCATGAAAACAATGTGCATGGGGCAATAAAGTCAATGACTGAATATTTAAAATTGTAGAACAATAGCAGTAGAAAAAGAGTTTTATCCTCATGTCCTAAGTATAAATTTCCACTAGATATCTGTTTGACCACAGTGGGAAATAAAGATGCTCAACTATCTACAGCAGTGCTTCCCAGCCTTGAGTAACCCAGGTGTTCCTGGACTTCAACTCCCAGAAACCCCAGCCAGCATAGCTAATGGTGAAAGCTTCTGGCAATTGCAGTCCAAGAACACCTGCGTTATCCAAGGTTGGGAACCATTGATTTACACCATTAGTATGATCCAATACTGCTTTTATATGCTTTATTGAAGAGAAAGCATGACCTTAATTGTAGATGAAATAAGTGGCATTTTAGTGTTTTTAGTTCAGTGTTACTGTATATTAGCATTTTTAAATTTGTTGTTAAAATAAAGATGGAAAATAAAGAAAGACTGTGGAAATGCAATGGAGGACATGAAAGAGCAGCCGCATTTTGTAATTAATGTGGTGTTTTTTTTTTCCTTATGCCAGCTTCTGCTCCTGACTTCTCTAAAAGTCCAATGAAGAAACTGATTCAGCTTCTAATGGGCAGTACAGCTCATTTTGAGTGCAAGCCAAGAGCTTCCCCTAAAGCAACAATTACTTGGAAAAAGGGAGGTGAGCTGCTCCAAGAAAATGAAAGGTATCATGTAAAATTGTGAATGTTTTCATATGACAGTTCAATTAATATTTTTAGTTGCTGTCCTAAAAACCAAAAAGGAGTATGCACACAATTTGTTTTAAAATTAAAATCAGAAAGCAACAATGCAAAGGACTTTAGTTCCAATTAAACCAGCATAACCACTCACCAACTATCCTCTCTTTTGTTTGTGGGAGGTTGAAAGGGGGGGGGGTAAGTCAGGTCATCTTTTTTTGCAGAGATGAATGGAGAGGATCCATTTCTCCCAGGTGCATTGTTGTTTTAGCAAGAGGTTTCATTTCAGTCAGGTTTCTGCCACTGAATAGGCTATGGACATATTTAGCCTGGATGTTGGTCCTATGCCACAACACTTAGAGCTATAATAAAGTGAAATTGTGTTCATTTTACACCACAGCATGTCTTCTTCCCATCCTCACCCCTTCTTACACCGCTGCCACATAATTCATGCAATTATTCTAAAAGTGATTTGGCTTCTACATTTGCCCATTATTGGATTCTATGCAAGACCACGAAAATCACATTTAGTTGTCTTGTCTTTTTATTTATTTATTTATTTATTTAATTGTCTTATTTCACAAGATAATTAAATATACTAAAATTACAATAAAAATCCTAATCGGTGATTAATCTCTTAACATTACATATAGAGAGACACTTATATGCAAAAAACAATTAGGAGGGAAGCCTGACTGAATTCAGTAGGGCCTCCTTGTGAGTAATTAGTAACAGATTAATCTTAAACAGCTAAGACTGCAGTGTGAACACTTACTGGAACATTACAGCACAAATACTGGCTAAAATCCAGAAGTATGTCATAACAACAGTAGGCCATTTTGAATCAGTGGAACCTATGGAGGAGCTGACTCACCAAATCCCTATTGATTCAGTGGCTCTACTGTAATATCACTTACTGCACTATCACTTACTGCATAGGATTTCAGCCACTGAATTGTGGTTGCTGCTGCTTTTTGATGACAGAGTAGAACAAATTCAGAGGTGCACAGATCCACTTTGTCCCCTTAGATCCCCTGAAATTTCATGTCTCACTGCTGAATTTCATCCTCAGCAAGACATCACTGATGTTATCTTTGCATAGGTGCCTGCTTCACTTTCATTTCACTGCGTTCACTTTACTGACTTCACACACCATGGTGGGCATTATATAAACCAGCATTGGGAAGCATGAATCTGGTGGGTCACATATGCAACATGTCTGTTCTTGCACACCTCAAGATATTTGCCCAAAACCAGAGCTGAATTACATATATAATGACATCAATATATTACAGCAATTAATAGAAAAACTATAACTACCGAATAATCTCTTACCCAAGGAAGTTTTGAATCTATGTTTTTGATTATGTCAGGAAAAGGAAGCAAGAGCGAGGTGGGGAAAAACAGGATAGGGAAGGAACACATGGGGACACGTATAGTTATGTAAACTTAAGCCATATTTAATTTGGTTGTGTGACTGAAGGAATTGTGGCAATGGCATCCTAGGTCAGTATTTTCATAATATGATGACGTCAATTGCTGACTGTTCAAGTTTATATGAAGATATACTGTACTGCAGAGGGCTTGCATTTCTGTGAAGGTGTATCAAAGCTCAAAATATGTACAACAGCTTTCTGCTGTCTTTGAAGTACAAAGGACACAAGTGGGTATGACAGAATCATACCTAGCAGCTTTCCTCCTCAGTTCTTGTTCACTATCCTGCATATCACCACTGTTGCCTTCCTTTTTTCCACATGAGAAAGTTAACAAAAAAATTCCCTGCTGCTGAAATGAAGAAGCTGCTTGAAGTGTCAGAATCAGCTTCTTGCCATTGTCCCCTATACTTTTCTGGGTGGGTAGGTTGTTTTGTTCTGTTTTGTTCTGGGGGCCCTTCAAGCACAGACGTTTTGAGGAAAATGACATACATACAAATATTTAGAAGGCTTTTAAGAAATAAGAAAATAGGATACAGTGGCCAGAATCCACACATAGAGCTACCACTGTGAAAGTGGCGGTAGCTATTTCATAAAGTGCCAGGGGTGTTCTGTGCACACAACCAATAGCTCACTAAACAGCCTTTTCTGCAGTAAGCTGTACCTGCTGCACACAGTAAATAACAACAGGATTCTGGCCAAGGGGAAAAAATCTCAGTATCAGTAAAGGTAAGTATTTTACGTATCTCCTACTTGCTTTCACAAAACTATTTGTTAGACATAACAGGTTAGGGCAACAGATGATACTCTTAGTTGTAGCAAATGAACCTTTTCCCATCCGAGGCACCTAGGTTGCAGATGCATAGCTTCATCAACTTACTCCTACCAGAAGCAACATAACAGTGTCGTAGTGATTGGGGAAGTATTGAACAAACTCATTTTGTATGCTGTTTCTGTTCTTTAGGTAGTGAAGCTCATAGGACAATTGAAGCATGTCCGTATTTCTATTACAATTATCTTCAGATAGTATGACTGATATCATTGAATATATTGTCTAGATCAGTGGTTCCCAATCTTGGGTCCTTAGATGTTCTTGCTCTAAAACTACTCAAAAGCCTTCATCACTATCTGTGCTGGCCAGGATTTCTGGGAGTTGTAGTCCAAGAACATCTGGGGACACAAGTTTGGAAATAACTGATCTAGATCTATAGATCATATAGATCTATATTTAGAGCAAGTTAGAAATATGTGAAACTAGCTTTCTTATTTCCATATAGTTTTCTGCTTTGCCTCTCCATAATTCTATTTGGTGACATAAGGTTGTAGTTGTGAGGCTACATTTAGCCCATAAAGGTTTTTTTGTGGTTCCTGGTCTCCCAGATTTCCTAGCCAAAGTCACCTGCATCAACAAAAGCTTTGCTGTTCCTGGAAGCATCAAGAAATGGTGGTTCTCCTTTCAAAATCAAGGGTAGATTTTAGCCCTTTTGTTTTTCATTCTTCTCAGGTTTGGGAATTTTTGGTGGTTCGTATAGTCCATGGAGAACCCAGAAGCACAAAATTGGCTCTTAGACACACTCCAGTTATCCATCCTTTTTAACTGGAAAGCAGCAGAAACTGTGTATTTTTCCAAACAACTTACAGGCATAAGGTGTTCTCTCTTTTTTTATTACATGGAACAGCAGTTCCTCCTTTAATGGATAATAGCCATAGACAAGTGAATATATGTTGACTGGTTCTGTATGAAAAGGCACATTAATATGCAAATCAGAATGAATGTCCCATTGAGCAGAGAAATGGGTACTGATAAACAACTGCAGTGGATTGTGCATTCCATTCCGCTTCCCAATACACATTCTGATTATATTACCCTCCTTCTAACTCAAGTGTGAGATGTTACATTCAGCTACCATTTCCTTTAACCTCAAATATGTATATTGGACAGATGCAGGAACTATTTATTTTAGGAAGAAAGGGGCAACTAAGGGAGAATGTTATAGAGGTGAATAAAATAATGCATGACACAGAGAAAGAGGATAGGGAGACCACTTTCTCTATCATAAAAGTAGAACCCTTCATCATCCACTGATACCGAAAAGAGTGAGATTCAGGACAGATATACTTCATACATCACATAGCTGATGTATTTTGTTTTACAAGTCATGGTGATAGTCTCATTCTCTATGAATTTGTTCAGTCCACTTTTAAAGCTGCCCAAGCTGATGACTATTGGGCTATTAGTCCTTGTCACTGACAAGATCAAAGGTAACATGTCTCTGAATACCAGCTGTAGTGGTATTTTACAATTATGTCTTGCTTGCAGGTTTTGCATCTAGTTTTCTTTGTGAATCAAGAAGTTGACTTGGTAGGCATTTTGCCTGATCCGACATGGATCTTTTTCTGTTCTTATGAAAGAAGGCTTGGGATGATATTCACGAATGATTGCCAGTATTGATACCAAAAACTGAAGATAGTGGACTTCCAAAGCATCCGTAGTGTAGATAACTATATACAGCTACCACTGTAGTCATAAAGTTGAGAACATATGTGTTGGGCAGCTGACAGTGGTGGCAGGAATTATGAAAAGCATGTAGGAGAAATTGTATGAACTGGACAAGAAGACAGTGTTTAGACTTCTAGGCTACATCAATCACAGATATGCATATACTGTATACCCATTGTACAGTATTCAAATACAGTGTGTTGCAATGTATAGCATAAGCTTCATGGGGCTCACTCATGACATTTGTTGAAGAACTAATGTCAATTCTGGAAATGGGAAGACAATTTACTAAAATTCTGCTCTTTCTGAATTAAGCTGTCTTGATTTGATAAGCCATTATCAAGCAATTCTCAAGGTCCATGAGATTCTTCACCTCCAGGCAAAAGTGAGGCAAACATTTTTTTTCCTCATCAAGATTTTTTGTCAAACGCACGCAGACTTTATGCAAAACTTTTGTTCCTTCCCTTTCAGGAGCAAAACATATGCACCACAGTACAACTTTTTTATTATTAAAAATTAAAACAAAAACAAAACAAAGAATATGAAAAACAAAGAATATAAAAAGAAAAACCATGTAACTAAAAAATTAACATAAATCCATTTAACCAGTACAAGAAAGAACAATGTGCTCTCCTCACAGGAACAATTTAGAGAAATGATGTTCTTCCCCATATGGAGTCTCCTACCTGTTCCAGAACTGCATTGATTCCAGCAAAGGTGTGCAACCTTTCCCCTTTATTAATGCACAGTCAGTAAATTGTGCCCGGATATCTATTAAAACATTCTTATTTAACAAACCATTTTAAACTTTAAGATTATACATAATGGCACAGATTTCATTGTACCATTCATTTACTTGGAAATCATATTTTACTTTCCAGTTCTTTGCCGTTATTAATCTTGCCACTGTTACTACATTTAATAATGTTTCTTTTGTAGTTCATTTCCATTGCTCCTTATTAAATATCAGTAAAAGGATACGACTTTCTATTTAACTTATTTCATTTATTTCCTTAAAATATAACTGCCAGATTTTGCTATATTTTTGCATTTCT